AGTAATATTACATGTAACATAAAATATATAATAATAATATATTATTATAATATCATATTACATTATAATATTATAAATTTTATAATTTTATATTTATTAATTATTATATAATTAAAATTATATAATTATAATATTATAAATTCTTCATTTGCATAGAACTTTTCACACCTTCTTTTAACAATGAGATTTAAATGTGTTTTGTTAGTGTATTTTTTATATGCACGCTCACATACTGGTATATCTATTTGTTAAGCTTACTAGAAGTATTACATTCATCCAATTATAACTTAATAGATAGATGTTCTGAGAATATAAATCTGCTGTTTCAACTGAAATATTTTGCCAGACTGGATTTGGAGGATAAGATTCCCCAGTTTGGTCCATTGTTGCAGAATGAACAGTAAATCACTGGAGTGACTTAGGACCCTTCCACACTGTCATATAACCCAGAATATCAGAGCAGATAATCCACTATATCTGCCTTGGACTGGATTAGTCCACACTGTTATATAACCCAGTTTAATGTGGATTTTATACAGCTGTATGGAAGTGGCCTTACTCTCTCGGTGGTTGTTTTATGAGTATTTATTTATTTATTTACGATATTTCTGCCCCGCCTTTTTCAAACCCAAAGATGACTCAATTGAGCTGTATCAATGAGACTTCCTAAATTGGAAGATGGTCCCCAAAGATATAAAAGGTTTGGCATGTATGAAACATAAAGCATATGCAAGCATTGTTTTTACGTGGACGATACCTTTCTTGCTATCTTAGGCTGGATCTACACTGCCTTATATCCCAGGATCCGATCCCAGATCATCTGCTTTGAACTGGATTATATGAGGCCCCTTCCACAGAGCTGAATAAAATCCCACATTTTATCCTTTGAACTGAATATATGGCAGTGTAGACTCAGATAATCCAGTTCAAATTCGATATTGTGGGATTTTCTGCCTTGATATTCTGGGTTATATGGCTGTGCGGAAGGTCCCTGAGTCTATGGTGCTAGATAATTTGGGATAAACAGATAATTTGGGATCAAGGGCAGTGTAGATCCAGTCTTACCTTCCTGGACTCCATCCTAAACTGTCTCTAATACTGGAAGAGAACTGGTTGGGTTGGGAAGAGAACTGGTTTTGCCTAAAGCTTTATTTTTGGCTTCCTTTTTATCCAGGACCAAGAGGAGGTAAGGTATAGAAGGACAAAACATCCACTTCTTGCCATCTGAATATTCTCTGCCTTCTCTTCTGGATATGAGCAGAGTAGATTGATGTCTGACAATAGATGTGCCTGTTGCTTCACATGTAATTCGACCGTCTGGTGACCTTTATTTAAATCTATTTTCTAACTTTGCAAAAACTAATCAAATTTGGCTTCTTCTTTTCCAAAACTCTTAGAATCACATTATGTTCGCGCTAATGGGTAATGCAATTTGCTTATCCATTTAGAAGTAACCAGAATCTGTTGAAGTGTACCCATTTCCTAAAACTGTTTTTACAGAATCTCAAATTCTGAAGCTCAATTTTCCTTTGTATTTTATGTAATTGCCTACTTGCTTGAATTTCAAAATGCTTCTTGATACTTAGCATTCACCCTTTTGGTGTACACTCATTATTTCTTCTTCTACACATGAAATTTAAAGAAATGGTTTGTTTTTACTCAGTATTCTTTGCTTATAGAGATAGGATTCCAAATGAAGCCTCTTTTTCACTACATAATTGGGTCATTTTGATACTACTTTAATTGTCATGACTGCATCCTATGGAATTGTGGGATTTGAGGTTTGGCGAGGTACTGGAGACATACAGTGTCGTTGTCATAAAACAATCCACAGTACATTAAAATTATTAAAATATTTAAAACAGTAGTTAAAACAATTAGTTAACATACTGTATGTGTGGGAGGAGCCGAAATGCCAATTTCCCCAGATCAGCAATGGATAGGCTTGGGGAAAGATCAATTGCCATAGCAAAGGCTATGGGAAAGATGAGAGGTAATTTAAAGCCACTTCCTCCTACTATCTAGGGTGATGTTCTTTTAAAAAGATAAATAATCCAAATCCTGGAGGGACAATGAGAGGAAATCTCTGCGCAAACAACTCCAGGGAACACGCTGCCTTAAGAAAAGTGCTCCTGTTTCACTGGAAGGGTCTTGAGTGCAAATGACCCCATGGAAAGTGCTACCTTAAGGAAGATGCCTTAAATCTGCTTCAGTGGAAGGGTCCTGAAGGCACCGCTGCCTTAAAGGATACCTGTTTTAAAAAGTGTGCTGGTACCCTTGAAATGGGAGATGTCATTGCCTGCCCATGTGATGGGAATTAAGCGGATGGTTGAGTTAGAAGCTGGAGGAGGCAATCTTGTGTGATGGGAATGAGTAAATTTTTCATCTTCTTTAAAGACAGAACCCCATGAAACTCCTCCCTTTCCGCCTCTTTCCCTCATTTTTCCCACTCCTTGTGATGAAGGCCGCATTGTGTTACTAAGCACTCCCTGACTCTGTTTATGAAGCATGCAGCACTTTTCAAAAAGAAATAAAATAAATAGAAAATAAAGTGAACATATTTAAATAGCCATTTAATAGTCAAACTGGGTTCAGTTGAAAAATGCACACAAAAATACTTTCATCAGCAGATAAAAAAATTATAATTTTGTATATACTAAAATGAGTAGAAAAGTGCCATCAACTTTAAATAAATGCAAAAAAAAATCCTATATGAGAGGGGGAAAGAAACCAAAGCCTCACAGTCTGATATGAACCAAGAATGGAGTGGAAATTGCAAGGTGGAATTTAGAGAAATATAAGCAAACTGAGATGAAGAGATTTTAACTCCTTGACTTTGGCTGAGAGCCTACATTGTGCTTGTATAAAGTAAATATATGTTCATGTAGTTATGCAGTACAACACAATACTGTTGAAAATCGGCATTGTACAACTGACTGGTTATCTGTCATTGCACCTTCTTATTGTCCCACCCATTATGCAATGGAAAAATCACAATGGCTGTTTCTACAATCCTAGTCTGACTACTGTTATGCAGAAGGCACTGACACATAGTTATGTACCATAGTAGAATCCTGTTTGATTAGTCCCATTGAATCAATTGTTTGATTGGTGAATCATATACTTCTTTTTTAAGTCTCACCTTAAAACATAACACAAAAACTGTAATTTGTTGAATTAAATAGGAATACGCATTGTATTTTAAGGTTAGCAAAGACGTAATCAGCATAAAATATACAGTAATATCTTTGTATCTGAGAGAATACATTCCCAGACTCTGGGTGGATACACCAAATTGTTGATGATAGCAAACCCTGTTGAAATGAAAGACTTACCACCCAATAATATCATAGAGCCATGTTAGAAAACCTAGAAACTACCTAGAAAGGATATATTTTTTTGGACGTGGATAAATGAAACCAGAGATACTCGTCCCTGGGTACATGAGGGTCTTACTGTAACAACAACAACAACAATAATAATCATCATCATCACAATAACAATAACAACAACACTTTATTTGTATTCCGCCCTATCTCCCCAAGGGGACTCAGGCATATACGAGAGCTGGATGAAAAGTAATGCCTCCACCTTCGTAACTCCTCAACAGATGGCAGTACTGGTATGCAGCAGGTACTGGCTTGTTCAGTATACTCTCCTCTACAGTTCTATTTTGGCGGGAAGCCTTAGCATTGAACTGTTGTGTTGTTAAAATGCGAAGTATGGATTTCTGCACAGACGGTCGGTCAATGCAACTTAAGCAATGTGCAGTCATTGAATTCTTGACAGCAGAAGGTGTCACTCCAAAGGATGCATCATAGAATGCAAGCTGTTTATGGTGATTTTGTTGATGTGAGTATTGTGCGTTGTTGGGCAAGTAAGTTTAAAGATGTTGTGGTGGGAACATCTGACTTGCATGACAAACAAAGAGTTGGACGTCCTGTGACAGCAACCACCGAGTTTCACAAGCAAAAGGTTGACAGATTGATTCAAGTGGGAACATCTGACTTGTGTGACAAACAAAGAGTTGGATGTCCTGTGACAGCAACCACCGAGTTTCACAAGCAAAAGGTTGACAGATTGATTCAGGTGGGAACATCTGACTTGCATGACAAACAAAGAGTTGGATGTCCTGTGACAGCAACCACCGAGTTTCACAAGCAAAAGGTTGACAGATTGATTCAGGACAATTGTCGTATCACTCAGAGAGAAATTTCAAGCATAATCGGCATTTCACAAGAACGTGTGGGTCACATTATTGCTTGTCTTGGCTATRGGAAGATCTGTGCATGATGGATTCCCAGGATGAGAAAACTGTGAGATGCTGGTTGTGGAAACAGAGTGTCGACTTCTTCTGTGATGGCTTCAGAAAACTTGTTCATCATTGGCAGAAATGTATCCAATTGACTGGTGATTATGTGGAAAAGTGAATAGTGGTAGTTAAAGAGCACTTTCTAAGGATGATTTCTAGGTTTGATTTATTAAAATATTCCCAACCAAACCCAAGTAATGAAGGTGGAGGCATCACATTTCATTCAATCCTCGCACAGACATATACAGACACAAGGCAAACATTCAATGCCTTGAAACAATGAAACCCAAATACACAGATAATGGTAAAGGCATCTCCGGCTCTGCGGGGTGGTGCTCATCTCCATTTCAAAGATGAAGAATCTGTGTTGTCTGTAGGCATCTTCTAGGTCATGTGGCCGGCAAGACTGCATGGAGCACTGTTTACTTTCCCGCCGAGGCAGTACCTATTGATCTACTCACATTTGCATGTTTTCGAACTTCTAGGTTGGCATCCAGTCAGCAAGTTCAGCAGCTCAAACTAATAAGTCTTCAATTTCAAACCATCTTATTTGAGAGTGAGCACCTCTGAACTTACAGGGACTTAGTTCTGAGTCAACACTGCATAGGATTTTGCTGGACATTTTACATCATACTTTTTTTGTATACTAAATAATAATTCTGTTGCTGTTTTTTTTCATTCCACACAGCAAGAAATAAAACCATTAATTGCAACACCTGAGGAATGCATGGCCATTTTTGACATTTTGGAAGAGCGGAGAGGAAGCATTTAGAAAAAAATTAACTTGGAGAAGGTAAGAAATATATTTTAAATGAAACCATCAGTATCAGGTTGTGTAGGTGAATAGAAAAATGATTCATTAGTTAGGACACTTTAAGTTTAGATACTGGGGAATCCAGGAAAGTGCACTTTGTGTATGATAACTGTGAGTACAATATGACTTCTGTGTTTGTGAGGATTTGTTCCTGAACTGTGGAAAAGTGGAACCCCCCTGAAATGAATGCTTTCTGGTAGAATCATCCCATAGAATTACATTGACAGATCTAGAAAATGACTAGAAAAAAACACGTTTCTAGGGCTGGATCTACACTGCCATGTAATCCAGATTTTCTGCTTTGAACTGGATTATATGAGCCTACACTGCCATATAACCCAGTTCAAAGCAGATAATCTGGATTTTATATGGCAGTGGAGATCCAGCCTAGGTCTTCTTTTGACCCCTTCTATACTGCCATATTAAATCCAGATTATGTGCTTTGAACTGGATTATATGACAGTGTAGACTCATAATCCAGATCAAGGCAGATAATCTGGATTATCTGCCTTGATAATCTGGACTATATGGCGGTGTAGAAGGGACCCTCATGACTCTATAGTAATCTTGCAACAGAAACATACTGTAGAATATTGCTTGAGGATGTAGAAAATGTCTAGAGGGAATTTTTGTTTTTGAATGTTGATAAGTGAAATTCAGCCACAGATATGGAAGCTGGTCCTATCTCTTTTAAGCTTCTGGTGGACAGCCAAAACAATACTGTTCTGTTTTTTATTGTTTTGGTTGTTCCAAACTGGATTCTATAAGTATTTTTAGATTGCTTTTAGGAGTGTTTAAAGAATATTTTAATGGGCTTTTAAAATGTTTTTATCTTTGTATTGTTTTAATTGGTTTTTATTTGTTTGTTGCTTTGGGATCCGTCATGGATTGGGAGGCAAATCAAGAATGCTTTAAATAAGCAAACAAAAAATCTGGCAGAATACCATTTCTGGTGCATTATATTATTCCTTACATGACATCAATTCACCCTCACTCAGAAAAGCCTCCCTGCAAGAATGTACTTAAAAAACACACACAGTTCCCTCAAATACCAATAGGAATCACAACTGAATGGAAGCCATGTACTGTACGCTAGAATATTTTCTGTAGGTGGAAATAAATTCCTTTGAGGCATTTGGAATCAAGAAGCAAGCTGCATTGGATATTCCACATTTTTTTTCATATAGATGGAGATGTATTTATTTGTTTATTTATTTACTATATTCATACCCTGCCCTTTCTCACCCCAAAGGGGACTCAGAGTGGCTTACAAGTACATTCAATATATTATATAATTAGCATAGCACAATATTAGTATTATATATTACTATACTGTACTAATATTATTAGTAATATTACATGTAATATATAGTATATAATTAATATTATTATATTGTATTATTAGTAGTACTATTATATTCTACATATTCTACATATCAGAATTATATCTATATTATATATATTATTAATACTATATTGTATTATTATTAGTATTATATTCTACATATTAGAATTATATGTATATTATATATACATTTAGGAGCCCCCGGTGGCATAGTGAATTAAACCACTGAGCTGCTGATCTTGCTTACCAAAAGGTCGCAGGTTTGAATCCGGGGAATGGCATAAGCTCCTGCTGTTAACCCCAGCTTCTGCCAACCTAGCAGTTCGAAAACATACAAATATGAGTTGATCAATAGATAATGTTTGGAAGGAAGGTAACAGTGCTCCATGCAGTCATGACGGCCACACGACCTTAGAGGTGTCTATGAACAATGCCAGCTCTTTGGCTTAGAAATGGAGATGAGCACCATCCCCCAGAGTTGGACAGAACTGGACTTAATGTCAGGGGAAACCTTTACTAACCTATATATAAATTTGTATTATATTATATTCTACAGATTATATTCTACAGATTCTATATATCACCTCCAGTTTTAAATCGTTGGAGCTTAGTGGAAATACATCCTGCCTACTCTGGGTCACCACAGTAATACAAATGCTTTGCTGCCATATTTCTTTCAAGTTGTGAATTCCTTTGCAATAATTTTGTTTGTTTGCAGAGATATGAACCAGAGCACTGAGCACATTAATTCCAAACAAGTGAATACTTTGCCGCTGCCTACCTAGCCTCTGTATATTATTATGCTGCTGAAATTGGTTGATGCCATTCATTATTTGATATGCCTTTTCAGCCTGAGGGTTTGTTTTCTGATGGCCTAAGTGCTGCAGTTCTGTCTCTTTAGATAGTTATGTCTGTTGTCTACTGTGCTGTTTTTCAAGGGCACTGTTCTGTTTTCTTAATTGCTGGTAGCTTCTGTCTGCTTTTGTCTACTTCTGAGCATACTTGTAGCTTTATTCATTTTTTATTGGTGTGGTTTGAATCTAAATAGCCTACAATTTCTTCTGCTATATAAAATGAATGTTTTCTTTGTTTCATTGCCTATCAGCCTCTTTCCTTTCACTGTCTTAATGCCTTCTTATCCTTTCTTTCTGTGTACATTCATCCAGATGGTACATTCACCCAGAGCCCCTGGTGGTGCAATGGGTTAATCCCTTGTGCTGGCAGGACTGCTGACCAAAAGGTCAGCGGTTTGAATCCGGGGAGCGAGTTGAGCTCTGGTCTGTCAGCTCTAGCTTCTCATGCTTGGACATGAGAGAAGCCTCACAGAGGATGGTAAAACATCCAGGTGTCTCCTGGGCAGTATCCTTGCAGATGGCCAATTCTCTCTCACCAGAAGTGATTTGCAGTTTCTCAGGTTGCTCCTGACACACACACACACACATACCCAGATGGTTAGGAGAAACAGAAAAAAATTCAGAAAGAAGTTATCTCACTGCATATTTCTTCTATCACACTCACATATATGAGTGACTATTGATCTTATATTGTCTTTTTGCGCATTAGCTGTCAATGATGTAATATTTCTGTGTACCGTGGCTGGAGAGCAGGGCCTCATGTCTGTCACCAGCTGCTGTCATCATAGCATAATAGAGAAAAGACATTCAAGATGCTGCAGATTCATTTCTGTGGGTCATTTCTGGGCCACACTGCAGAACTGCACGTTTCTTTCATAAAAATCGTAATTTGGTGTACACGATCGCACTTGTTGAATGCTGGGGAGGAATCTGAAGTTAGAAGAAATTTTAGAGTCTGATATTAGAACCTGCTTCTTGTGGAAATTCATACTACAGAACTTTATTTGTATTTAAAAGGTACATGCAGCATCTGATATATTTATTTACTTATTTACAGTATTTATATTCTGCCCTTCTCACCCTGAAGGGGAGTCAAAGCGGATCACATAACATATATATGGCAAACATTCAATGTCGTTATACACTGACAAGACAGACAACTCTCTCTCTCTCTCTCTCTCTATATATATATATATATAAAGCTTTCCCATCTTCAGCATATTGGAGGCTGTGCTCAGTAGTTCTGACCACGAGGGGGTGCTGTTGCTCTATTTTCCTTGCCGAAGAGCTTTGTTCATAATCTTCCTCCTTGATTGAATCACCGACATTTTTCTGGCATTTCTTTATGGGTACTCTAAATACCTCCCCGCTTAAGTGGTACCTCCCCGTTTAAGTGGTACCTATTTATCTACTCACATTACTGTTTTTGAAACTGCTAGGTAGGCAGAAGCTGAGCTAAAGGAGCTCACCCTGACCTGGGCTTCAAACTGTCAACCTTTTGGTTGGCAAGATTTTCTGCAGCTGGTGGTTAACCTGCTGTGCTAAAGCCAGTTAGCAGCTCATTTGACACCTCTGGATTGTCCTGTCTGATATAAATACTAGTTTCCTTTTGTGAGCATCAGCCTGGTCAACCCAGCAGTGTCTTTACTCTGCTGCAACCAGGTTGTATCCACTAGGTTCAGCTATACTGAAAGAAAAAACACAATCTTCAGATCTTTTCCTTTATCCACTATTTGCACCTTAAACACCCTTTTTGTTCTGACTACTGATTCCCTCATTCTCTGGCCTTACTCATTTCTTCGAACCTTGGGCCCTTGGTGTCCATTTGAGTTGGGTTTCAGGACCAGCCATGGGTACCAAAATCCGTTAATGCTTATTTTCCATTATACGCAGTGGTTTAGTAAAATGGTGTCACTTATATTAAATGGCAAAATCAAGACATGCTTTTTGATATTTTTTTCCAATATTTTTCAAGTTATGGATTGTTGAATTGATGGGTACCAAATAATAATAATAATAATAATAATAATAATAATAATAATAATAATAATCTTTATTTATACCCTGTCACCATGTCCCCAACGGGGACTTGGGGCGGCTCTGTAGGTACAGAGGGCTGTCTGTACTCTTCTTGGTCTCAGTCTCTTACACTTCCTTCCTTTTTTTTTTTTTTTTTGGTAGTAATTTCATTTTCTGTACCCTTTCCGCTGGTATTAAACCTGTTATGCCTCTGGCTTACTCCTTTACCCTTCCATAATTATCCCTCGCTCTTACTATGGTCCATTTCTGCTTCTATCTGATCAACCTCTCACCTCTGTAAATAAAGGTAAAGGTGTCCCCTGACATTAAGTCTAGTCATGTCCAACTCTAGGAGGTGGTGCTCATCTCCATTTCTAAGCCGAAGAGCCGGCATTGTCCATAGACACCTCCAAGGTGATATGGCTAGCATGACTGCATGGAGTGCCGTTACCTTGCCGCAGAAGTGGTACCTATTGATGTACTCATATTTGTATGTTTTCAAACTGCTAGGTTGGCAGAAGCTGAGTCTAACAGCGGTACCTTTTCCCTAACTTGTTCTGCTACACACACACACACCATCTTTTCTTATTTTGAGCCCTCTTGTATTACTAAGCTTTAGTTGGTTAAGAGTTATTGTTATTTCTTCTTTCCTTGTTTTCTCCAATCCATGCATTTCCCCCCCTTTAATGTAAAATGTTCAGTGCATGTTAGCCATGATAGAGCAATTGTATTTGTTCCCCTCTTCTTTCTTTGGCTTCTGGAGAGGTGAGCAGCTGGCATTTGCTAGTTAATATAATGAAACACAATTATGCAATTCAACCTCATCATTCCCGTGCTCATTTGTTTTGCTTTATGGTGGTATAAACCAAAAAAGCAGTGACTTTTTGCATTGTTTATGACAGCTAATCACACTTCCAGAGCTGAGTAAAAATGTAATAGAAATAGGCCAGAGCTTTTGTGCCTTGCACGTTGTATTTCTCTAAACAATGCTAAGATCCAGCTGACATCATTTGTTAAGCAAACAACACTGATACAAGAGTGCAGTCTATCCACGGCAAGCTGGACGTCCATGATTTATCTGTGTAAACCTGTTGTGCTGTACATTTTGTTTCAGTTACACTTATCAAAAGCATGGCTACAGATGAAAGAGATACAGAACACAGTGTTCTACCTGAGGGACTGGGTAGCGAAGCTGCAGGTACTGAAAACACAAAATGTGTGCCTTGGGATGCAAATGAAAGAGACAGAATCTGTTACGCTTTTTCTGAGCTGCTTTTGTGTCAGTCTTCTCTGTGCTTGATTATACAACCAATGCTGTGAAGAATAGCAGCATTCGAGAAAAGAGAGAGATGCTGTTGTGCCTTATAAAAAAACCAGGAGGTATATTACGTGGGCTACATTTGCAAATGTAGTTTCTGCAACCACTGGCTGCATTGCTCTCGTATTATCAAAGGCTCACAGACCATTCCTTTGCGTATAGATAGCCTTAGGATCAGTCCTTGGCACTTCTGGCAAACTCTTCGGTCTGAAAGCCTACTTACTGCCAATCATTGTACACTGGAGTTGGGGAACCTTTGGCTCTCCACATGATTTTGATCACAACTCCTCCAGTCCCTTGCCATTGACCATGTCACCTGGGAGTTGAAGTCCCAACATATAGACTCAAGAAGGTTAAGTGTTCTGTAGACAGTACTGATAATGATTTGACCTTCCTATGTCCCCAGGGGCAAAGAATCCATAAGTGTCAAGGTATACCGCGATTGGTTTATCTATGTCCAGACGTCTCATTGAATTATCTACTTTGATGTCATATTTATTTATTTACAGCATTTATATCCCACCCCTCTCACCTCGAAGGGGACTCAGAGCAGCTTACAAGTTATATGTACATAATATAATAATATTATTAGCATAGCACAACATTAGTATTATATATTACTATTTTATACTATACCACTATACTGCAATATTATTAGTAATATTATATGTAATATAAAATATATTATTATTATTATTATATTATATTGTTTTACAATATTGTGATCAATATTATATGTACATACAATATATTATAATTATTACCATAGCACAATATTACTATATTGTACTATACCATTATACTGCAATATTATTAGTAATATTACATGTAATATAAAATATATAAGTATTATATTATTATATTGTATTACAATATTGTGATCAATATTATATGTACATACAATATATTACAATTATTCCCATAGCACAATATTACTATATTGTACTATACCACTATACTGCAATATTATTAGTAATATTACATGTAATATAAAATATATCATTATTATATTATTATATTGTATTACAATATTGTGATCAATATTATATATACATACAATATATTATAATAATAACATAGCACAATATTACTATATTGTACTATACCACTATACTGCAATATTATTAGTAATATTACATGTAACGTATAATATACAATTATTATATTGTATTATTACTAGTATAACATTGTATTACACTATAATATTATTATCAATATTATATGTATATACAATATATTAACTTAACATAATAAGTTGCAAATCAGGTGGCAGATGACCAGGTGCTATTGGCCATTCAGGGGACCAGGTGCTACTGGCCATTCAGAAGGTCTGTACAGTTGAAACATGAAGGCAATTAACTATTTTTTCTTCCAAAATCCCAAATAAGTACTGCTTATATCCCATGGAATTTTCAATGATACACTGATGTTCCAGATCTGTTGAGCAGCTACAGACATCCAACACTTCCTCCTTAGGATATCATGCCTCATAACGGCTTTCATCTAAGAGTATTTAATGTAAACAATATTGCCAAGCTGATTCCAGTGGATAAGTTATAAAATGACTCACATAGACCAGTTACAAAAGCTCCGAGGTTGCTACATAATAAATTAAGCACTCCACATAACACAACTCACATTTTCATATAACAAGAGAAGGGAAGGTACTCTAGAAAAAGAGTACCATTTTAATCCGGGTTCTACTTTTTGTGGCTTAGTAAAGAGCTACAATAAATTTGGATGATACAGGCAATTGGTGTTCACACATGAAATGGCTAGAGTTTTAAGTATTTCTGAGTTTAGCACAATGTTCAACTTGTATTGAAAACAGTGGGAAATAAAGATTTGAGTGAGAAAGGAGATGCTTGCCTTGAAGGTGAACAGAGCTTCTCTAAAGAAATCAACCTCACTACCAAAGGAAGAGGGATACAGGAAGCACACTTAGCAAAAGAGACACTTCGCTGTTGCTGATGTGTAAGTAAGGTGCTGGGAGTGAATTATTGATGCCCTGCTTACACTTGATTCATGCAAAGGGTTGGAAGAAAAGCTGCAGCCTCTTATAAGATTTGTGCCGGTTCAATAGCTAGTGGCGTAGCCCAAGGGCAAAGCATAGACCTTATATTGATGGGAGCAGGACAGAAATAGTTTTGATTTGGCCAGAAGCATTTCACTTCTATCCCTTTTAAACTGGTAAGAACATAAAGTTGCTTTCCTGGAACAGATAAAAAATATTAGTCCAGGGATGACTTTCCAGATGTTCTGTGACTGTAGCTCACATGATAACTCCCCATTGGCTACTGATGACAAAAGTTGCAGCCTGACAACATCTGCTTTAGTCCATAATTTTGCTTCGCAGAGTTGACAACAAGATATTTCCAGAAAGCCCATAAGTAGCTATGAAAGCAGTAACTACATCTGAGGTAGCTCCCCAGGGTTTGGAAGGCCTGAAGGAATTCAGAAGGTCTTATCCACACACACACAAATCTAATCCTAACTGTATTCAGTGAATCACTGCTTTTGAACATGGAAGTTCTATCTATATAAATAAAAATGTAATGTTCGTTTGTGGGATTAACATAACTCAAAAACCACTGGATGAATTGACACGAAATTTGGACACTACACCCCTAACAGACCAACGAGTTATCATCACTCATAACCCCCTCCCAAAAATAGCAGAAAGGACTTAAAAAACCCCAAAAGCTAAATGACGATACAGCTCATGCGCAAAAATGACAGCTCCCAGCACCCCTTAGAGCAGGGCCTTTAGGGGAGGAGGATACTCCAAATGCACTGCTTCCAAGCTGCAAACTTGCTTCTCCTTGGATTTCTTTGAGAGCATCCCAATCCCTTCATAGTTCCTATTTCCTATTCCTGGACTGCAACTCCCAACAATCCTCCAGATAGATAAATTAGAAAGAGATAGGTAGGTAGATAGACCAATCGATCAGGAGGACTGCTGGGAGCTGCAGTCCAAGAATAGGTAGAGAAGGAAGAAAGGAGAGAAAGAAAAAAGGGAGGGGAAGGAAGAAAAGAGGTAGAGAAGGAAGGAAGGAAGTAGAGAAGGAAAGAAAAAATGGGAAGGAAGGTAGGAAAGAAAGAAAGAAGGAGAGAAAGAGGGAGGGAAGGTTGGCCACAGCAACGCCTGGCGGGTACAGCTAGTATCTATATAAATAAAAATGTAATGTTTGTTTGTGGGAATAACATAACTCAAAAACCACTGGGCGAATTGACACTAGATTTGGACACAATACACCTATCAAGCCAGCGAGTGACCATCACTCATAAAAACACTGAAAAACACAGCAGAAGGGACTTAAAAAGCCAAAAGACAAAAATTACATTACAGCGCATGCGCAAACCCACATAAATACACAAACAAACATATACACAAATACACACACACACATATACACACACACAAAACATATATACAGACTGGGCCACAGCAATGCATGGCAGGGGACAGCTAGTGAATATATAAATTAGTAGTCACATTGATCTCTTCTGTAAGATTCTGTATAATTCCCTTTTTAAAAAGTGCATGCTCATGGTATTTTGGGCAGATGTCCATAAATTATCTGTGTAAAATTACATTTCACACTTCCCCTAATCTATTGCCAATGATATCCTGAGATGAGTTAAAAAGTTAGCATTATGATAAAGAGAGAAGAGTATTTCCCACTGTTTTATTATATTATTTTTTTAAAATCCATAATCCACTTTGGTGATGCTTTTGTTAGGCTAACCAGAAGTCTTATGGCTGAGCTAGGTGTCTTCAAAAATGCAGGAATAACTGTGGTGACCATTATACAGGAAGCTGATTTTCAGGAAGAAGGTAAAGTGATCTAAATTGGCTTCTGTTGGCATGATTGCCTGCCTGTGACATCTAAATCTTTCTCCTGACTTGGCATCAGAAGGTCTTCCTGGGAAGATGACTGAAAACTCTGCCAAAATAAGGTTTTCGCTTCACTGGACAGAGTCAGAGCAGATATCAAAGGAAGATGGCACAATGGAGAACTGGAATTTTATGACTTTTTGCCTTCTGCCTCTGGTCTCTCCCCATTTCTCTTTTGTATTGAGTGAAGGGGACTGAGCTTTCTGCCTTCATGAACACACTGTCATTGTAACATCCAGAACCAGAAGACCTGCAGGCTTATGGCTTCAAAAACATCACTTTTGTTCCTGCTGGATTTTTTTATAATTTGGCAACTATTCATGCCAGTGAGCTAGAGTAATGTTTTATACCATTCTGATAGAGTTATAAATGTTCACTTGTGATTTAAAAAACGGTCAGCATAGTTGTGCCTGCATTTTTCAAGCAATATTTATTTATATCCCACCTTATCTCAACAGAGAAAATAGCAGTATACCTGATTCCCCTTCCCCTTTTTATGTTTTTGAGATAGGTTAGGTTGAGAAATAGCCCAGCATCACCCTGTCCAAGCAAACAATGTGAATCTAGAATAAATTAATGTCCAAGCAAACAATGTAAAACTAGAAGTCCTAAGGCCCAGTATTTTAACGAATACAGTGTTCCCTCACTATATCGCGGTTTGCTTATTGAGGAGTTACTGTTTCGCAGGTCCGCAATAAGTGGGGGGGGGGGTCTCTGCCCACTTGGCAGTGGCCTCCTCCTCTTTGCCGAATCTGCTGCTCGCCGCCTCGGAGGCCCCTTGAGCTCCATTGACGGCACTGCCAGACTCATCAGAGGCCTCAACCCAACCTGACAGTGCCATCAACTTGCCCAAGGGGCCTCCGAGTGGCAAACAGCAGACTCGGCAAAGAGGATGAGGCCACTACTGAGTGAGGACACTCTGCTCACTCAACAATCGCCTCATCCTCTTCGCCAAGTATGCTGCTCACTACCTCGGAGGCCC